AGCCGGTGCTTGCGTTGACACAAAGTAGAATTGACCCGAGTACTGATCGCGACTCGGGTCCTTGTCACTATCTTCGCTCTTCATGTTTGCAGCACCGCCTCCGCGACCGCCACGGCCTCCACGGCCTCTTCCTCTCCCTCCTCCTGCTCCTCTACCCTCCTGGCCTTGAGCAGGGGTCCATCCATCTGGGAGTTTATAACAATCGCGCCACATATGTCCGCTCTTGTGGCAAAAGTGGCATTCGCCGTCGAATCGGCCGCGACCGCGTCCGTAGCTCTTGTTGTCGCTGCCGTAACCGCCACTCCCGCGGCCTCCATTGAAGTTGTGCTGCCAAATCTGCCTCCTCCTCGTCCTCTGCCCCTTCCACGGCCGTACCCCCGGCCGATGCTTGCTGCCCCGGCGCCATCCGCACTCGCCAACTCACGGCGGCGGAAATCCTCTTGAAGGATCGCTCGCTTCACATCTTCGAGCGAGAGGCGGGGCAGATCTCGGTTGAGGTTGATGATGAGCGAGGACCATGACTCTGGGAGTAAGGCCAGCAACTTGGTCTTCTTTTGGAGCTCACTGTAGTTCAAATCAGCTCCTTCAAGCCGCGTCAGCAAGTCGAAGAATTTCTGCACCCCTTCTTCAACCGCTTCATCCTCGTCATTTCGTGGTGTCGCCATTTGCCGTTCCAACACCACCGCTACCGCAGCTGTTGCAGGAGCGTGTACACCCTTGAGAGCAACCCAGGCCTTTGGTCCCTTCTCTGGTTCACGCTGGAATGGCTTGATGTGACGGATTTGACTGCTCCCCAACGCTTGCCCAAGTAGGAGGTAGCCTTGTGCGCTCTTCCGCACCCACGGGCTCTTCTCCGGGTCGATCTCGGGACGCTTCTCCGTTCCTTCCATCACCTCCAGCAGGTCATAGTGGTCAATTACGTTCTCCATTCTGAATGACCACTCAGCAAAGTTGTCCCCGTGAAACTTGTCAAGGCCAAACACTCTAGGATCATCCCTAGATGGGCCAACACTTGGTTGCACGGGCGCCATGGCTGAATCACGGGGTTGACCTTGTGCTTGGGGTCCTCCATTGCCTCCAGCACCTCTGTCACCCCTTTCTTCAGGTCCAGCCATCGTCCAAGCTGCTCCAAGGCACTCTGATACCACTTGTTATAGTCACAGTAGGTTTCAATGTGCCTAAAACGAAAGATAGAGTGCACACTCGGATTTCTGCACAGCGGGTTTAAACGTCCATAGCGTTCTGGTCACAACTTCAAATGACCTGATTTAAATAGGATCTGGAGCGTCTTAACGTCGCCTACAATAGACAATTTATATCGCACCATTTCATCAAGTATTGACGACAAAGCGTCGGTTTGAACGAACGGCACTATGGCAGCCACTATAGTCTTAGGACACACAATAGGAAAATTTACGAGTTGGGAATGACTCCCAGCTCCTACAAACCCCAAGAGCCGAGGTACAGTGATGTGGAATAGTGCCACACTGTCCCCAACCACGAAGGATCTCGAAACTACCCTTCACAAGGGCCTACACCAAGTGAAATGTTACACTACACAAAGTAATGTAACTATCTTCAACATCTTGAGGTGTACCCTTTTTTGGCGAGCTTCGAAATCACTTGAAGCTTGACACCAAGGCTCGGGTTCTTCATCACAAACTCATCCTTGAGTTCTTAACAGGTTTGCTGCACACACCTGCAACACGCCGAACGTTTGATATAGGACAAAAAAGAAACCGCGCACGAGACACACGACAAAATAGAAAACGCGCGGGACACACAAATGATCGCGTAACACGCGACTAGCGATAACTCGCTATTGACTCGACACACACACACACTCGACATCATGACTCATCATGCACACACTATTATAAGCGTGAAATATATATTATCTCATGCCCTCATTCCATCCCATGCACACACGCATGCACACATACGGACAACAAGCCGAGTGCAAACCGTAGGTTGCACCTACAACGAGCAGAACGTGGACAGAGCTTTGGAAGAAGCCGGACCTCTTCCCTACTGTTCGGTGGATGTCCCAATGGACGATGACAACCCTCGCGAAAGCATCAATGCCGAATTCTTCTACGACCTCACTGACAACGGTTACGTTACACCAGCGCAAGTCAACACCGACGAAGCAGAACGCGTAGGACCTAATTTCATACCTGATCCAGAAGCGGGAGACGAAGCAGCTTATCCCGAGGACGCAAATCTCCCTCGCTACACGCAGAGTGGACTCCAGATACTCGGACTCGTCACCGCAGTCCACGACACGGCGCCACCTAAGGAGCCTGCCACAATTCAGCAGGCTCTGGGGGGGGAGCATAGGGCAAAATGGCGCAAAGCCATGGACAGGGAGTTAAAGGCACTTGAAGAACGCAACACCTGGAAGGTCGTACCTATCGGGGTGGCACGGAACAAGACCATTCTCACCGGAAAATGGTTTTTTTTCGCGTGAAAATAAAGGCAGACGGAACCATCGACAAATTCAAGGCGCGCTGGGTCGTACGTGGCTTCGACCAAGAGCACGGACGAGACTTCACCAAAACGTTCGCACCGGTTAGTCGGCACACCTCACTGCGGATTCTCCTCGCAATAGCCGCTATGAAGCGGAAGAAGCTTCGTCAAATCGACGTCGCCAACGCCTTTCTCTGTGCACCCGTCGACGCTGAAATCTTCGTCGAGCAACCGCACGGCTCCAACGCAGACCCCAATCAAGTCCGTCAGCTACTGAAGTCCCTGTACGGCATCAAACAGGTCCCGAGATTGTGGCAACAGTACCTACACGCCCGGCTAATCCGCATCGGATTCAGGCAACTGCCGCACGATCAAGGGATGTACCGCCTCACGAAAGGAGCCGACTACATCCTGCTCATCGTCTACGTGGACGATCTACTCTACATCGGCTCGACCCACGGCGTCACAACCTGGTTCGAAGGGGAGCTGCAGCGGGACTTAACTCTTACCGTCTCATCAACTGTGGCGCAGTACCTAGGACTCAACATATGGGACGGCGAGAACACGATCCACCTTAGCGCCGCAAAATACGCTGACACCATCGCCAAACGCCTCGGATTAACTCCACTGCTATCTCCACACCGTACCGCTACACCTGCGCAAGTCACGAAGGAACCTCCGCTCCACTCAAGCCTACCGGTATACGCGACTATTAGCAAAAACTAGGATGCCTGCTATTCGCAGCCGTCACCTGCCGACCAGACCTATCGTATTCAGGAAGCCACCTCGCCACCTACCTTAAGAAACCTGAAGCAGAGCACATGGCGGAACTCGACCGCACACTCCACTACCTCGTCAGCACCCCGACAATCGGCCTGACCTACCACAAAAACGGAACCTCGACACCTAAGCTAATCGGCTATGTAGACGCCGACCACGCCGGCGACGCAGACAACAGGCGCTCGCGCACCGGCTACATCTACCGACTCGAACCTGTCGGGCCTATCTCGTGGCAGTCGAGCAAGCAAGAACTAATCGCTCTCTCCTCAGCTGAAGCAGAATATATTGCACTTTGCTCAGCCACCAAGGAAGGCTTGTATCTTCGCGAACTGCTGGAAGAAGCGAAGTTGGCCCAGTTACCCAGCTTCACTCTGTTCTGCGACAACCAATCTGCAATTCGCATAGCGAACAAGAACGGGTTCGCGTACCGGACGAAGCATATCGCCCTGCGATACTTCTTCGTGATAGACGAGATCGAGAAGGGGAGACTCGAGCTATCTTGCTGTCCCACGACCGAGATGGCAGCCGACTATTTGACCAAGAAGCTCGGAAAACAGAAATTCGAGTACTACATGCTGCTGACTGGACAAGGCCACGTCACCAGCAGCGACACTCCAGAAGCAAAGGGGAGTGTTGGAAACAATTGATTAATCGCTTCTTATGTGTCGTAACACCGAACTACAAACGAGGCGAACTACAGAGGAACAACGGCGAGTCAACCATCGGAGGTTGACAAGAGAAGTAACTGCTGGAGGTTACGCGAAGGTCAAAGGTCAGCAACCTTTGACTTGACAAATACAGCGCGACAGCAAGGACAAACAACTTACTCGCTATTGAGCAGTTGCCCGAGTCGTCACTGTATCGAACCGCATCAGCAACAGTAAAACGGTTAGTAGTTGTATCCTTTCATATTCCTTGTACTCTTATAAAACCTTGTATCTTCTTGCTTTAATCAATCTATCTTGCCCTCACACACTAGCGCGAGGTGGTTCAACACTTGTTACTAAACGCTTCTGCAAATACAACACTTCTACTCAGCGTTTAGCCTTGAAAAGATCCTAAGGGCATTTCTCAGCCCAACAGACGTCACACGCATGCGTTGATTCAAAATCTTCCATGGTTGCAGTGTCGGGACTGCCACGGGCCGAACACTTGGCGCGATGTTGGGACCAGGCCCTATGAAATTCCTGATTTTCAGGGATTTTGTTTGTACCTACCCTTATTTTCCAGTGTTCAGCTTTTTGTGGGACTGATTTTTCAGCCTTTTCCTGCCAGATGACTCTGAACTTTCAGGTTTTTTTGTTTAGGGACACTGATTCAACTACATTGTACCAAAACTGACACTGAATGCGTTTTCTACGCGTTCCGAGTGTAGTTGCCTGGAAGTATGGGGAATCTCAGATTCCCGCAGTGTCAGCACTGCCTGGTGGTGACTACGAGACAAAATGCCCCGTGTTCTTTCACTCGCGGGGGGTTTCTTCGCGTTCCTGCCTGGTGTACCAAGTGGCAGTCAGCCGTGTGGTTTAGTAAAAACAACCTTTTTCTTAGGGAACGTTGATGCTTCAGGTTTTTTTTTTTAAGTGACACTGATTTTTCAGGTTTTTTTTTCTAAAAGACACTGTTAATCGGGGATTCTACGCAGAGACCCTGATCCCTCTACATCCCTCAAAGTGAATCTGAGGGCCTGGTTTAGACGACTGTGGGGTAACATAATGCCGCAGTAGGCTCACGTGGAATGCGTTGTTAATTCGCTAGTCGTCCAGTAGCAATAGCTTCGCTATGACAGGTGTCATCATCTTGACGATGCCATGTATCTGCTGATTGGGGCAAACGAAGATTCTTCCGTCAAGGTTATATTTCATATTCCTTAGCTTAACCTCTAGTGAGTTGCCCCTTAGGGGGTAAACACTTATTTCGACACTTCTCTTGTACCTCTCCATGGGCCTAGTTCACCATTCATGCCTAAAATTTTAACATGGTATCAGAGCAATAGGTCATTGGGACTGTTAGAACGTTTTTTTTTTCCGGGCCCAGCGTTAACATTTTCTCTGCCCTACACGATCGCGCTGCTTCGCGAGTGCCCTGATGCCCCACGCTCCCGTTGCCCGGGGCTGCCTTGCGCGCTGCCTTACACCCCGCGTGTGCCCCGCTCCCCAGAGCCCGGGAGTGCCCCGCTGCCCTGCGCCCGCGCGTGCCCAGAGCTTAGGCTCGCCCCACTGCCCAGTGCCAGAGCGTGCCCTGCTGCCCCGTGCCCGTGCGTGCCTTGCTGCCCAGCGCCATCGCGAGCCCTGCTGCCCAGATCCAGCCCGTGCCCCACTGCCCAGTGCTTATGCGTGCTCCGCTGCCCTGTGCCCACGCGCGCCCTGCTGCCCAGCGCCAGCGCGTGCCCCTCTGCCCCGTGCCCGTGCGTGCCCTGCTGCCCCGTGCCCGAGCGCCCATGTCCTGCCCTGTTAGTGATGCCCGCTCCTGCCCTGCCCGTGAGCTCGTGCTGCTGCTGCAGCTCCCGCCCGCACGCTGCCCTGCACCGTGCCCTGCTAGCGCTGCCCGTGCCTGCCCTGCTGTGCACTCGTGCTGCTGCTGCCGCCCGCACGTTGCCCTGCACCATGCCCTACCCGCGCGCTCGTGCTGCTGCTGCAGCTGCCGCCCGCATGCTGCCCTGCTCCCTGCCCTGCTTGCGCTACTGCGCTGCTGGTGCTGCTTGCATCACCCTTACAGAGCCCCTGCTTGCGTCCACCGGCCCTGCCCTGCCCACACAAGCGCCTGCCCTGTCAAAATCCCAGCCACTAACCACTGGGATAAAATGGCTTGTTAAGTAGCGGGTCAGTGCGCCCATAACCCCCCAGGCCAACGTGCCTGTAACCCTTCCCTAGGATCAATCGGGGATCTCCAGTGGACCTTTGACACCCCCCTGCACTGGGATACCCGAAGTGCACACATTGAGATTCGAACCCGAGACCTTCGCTCTGATACCATGTCAAAATTCCAACCGCTAGACCATTAGAATAAAAGGGCTTGTTAAGTAGCGGGTCAGTGCGCCCATAACCCCCCAGGCCAACGTGCTTGTAATTCTTCCCTAGGATCAATCGGGGATCTCCAGTGGACCTCTGACATGCCCTACCTACACGCGCTGCCCGCGCGCACTTGCTCTGTCCCGCATCTCCTGCCCGCACCCTGTCCTGTCAGCGCTGTCAGCGCACCCCTGCTCTGCCCCGCGAGCGACCCGCACTAGAGTGCCAAGTTACTCGCGCTCTTCCCTAGCTGTTCTTGCGCTGCTGCTATTGGCTGCCACTAACTGCCATGGCCACTACCACTGTCCTACGTCAGCGGCGGCCGAGTGTGCAGGAGTCTCTCTCGCCGCAGCAGCTTCGCGAGTGGGCTATCTGGTGGGGCAGCCCTGGTGGCGGAGCTAGCCGTGCTAGAGCTGGAGGTGCTGGTGCTCGCGGTGCTCGTACTCGTTGACAGGAGGCGCTCTCGTCGCAGCAGCTTTGCAAGTGGGATGTCCGGTGGGGCAGCCCCGGTGGGGCAGCCCCGGTGGCGGAGCCTGTGGTGCTACTACTGGAGGTACCTGTTAGTCTACTCTTACTGGTAGTGCTGTTGGTGGGCGCGGATGTTCTGGGGGTGGACAGCAGCGGCAGCAGCGTCCGTCGGAGACACTTTCGCCGCAGCACCTTCGTGAGTGGGCTATCTGGTGGGGCAGCCCCGGTGGCGGAGCTTGGGATACAAGTGCTGGGGGTGGAGAGGCACCAGGTGGTGTAGAGGCTACTAGTCTAGGTGCTTGTGACTCAGCTAGCACAGGTGCAGAGTTTGAGTAGGCCTTGCACACTTTCCTACTCGACTCAGGCGCGTCTCGCTGCTTCTTCCACGACTGCACCACAGTCACACTGCTCACAGCCCCTGTCCCTGTCACTTTGCTGACCCCTCAGGTGGCCCAGTTGTTGCATGTAGCTCCACTGTTCTCCCGTGTCCCGCAGCCCCCTCCGGTTCTTTCACAAGTTTCCACCTCCCCTCGTTCGCTAGGAACTTGGTGGCTACAGCTGTCCTACAGGACCAGTTTGTCACTATTACCCAGCCTGGGGGAGAGCTCGTGGCGATCTGTACGGACTCACGCACTGGTGAGCACCTCGCCACGTTCACTCGGAGGCCCGGATCTGGTCTGTACATACTGACCATTGAGTCTGTACAAGTGGCTTAGTCAGGTCAGGTAGCTGTGTCAATTGAGGTAGCTGCATCTTGTTAATGTGGTCTCCTTACGCACCAAACTCTCCTCTGGCACCACCGTCTTGGTCACCCCTCCTTGCCACGCCTGCGTCTGGCATGCATTCCCGTGTCCTTGTGTCTGGCCTTCCCAGATCCTTGCCCCCGCTCCCGAGGTCGCTTGCGCCGCCGTGCCTTCCCTGCGCCTGGGGGCGGCAGCGCGCCGCTCCTCACTCCTCGTTTCCTCCAACCACAACTCCTCTGCAGACCCTCCACATGGACGTGTGGGGTCCAGCCCGCGTCACTGGACAGAGCAGGGAGCGCTACTTTTTGCTGGTTGTTGACGATTACACGTGCTACACCACGGTCTTCCCCTTGCAGAGCAAGGCGGATGTCTGCAGTGTGTTGATCCGCTGGATCCATGCTGTCCGTCGCCAGCTCAGTGCTCGGTTCCGGCAGGACCTCCCGGTCCTGCGGCTGCACTCTGACCGAGGTGGCGAGTTTTGCTCCCGCCTCCTCGAGGACTTCTGTGGTGCTGAGGGCATCCGCCAGTCGTTCACGCTTCCGGCCTCTCCGCAAAAGAATGGATTGCAGAGCGTCACATTGGCTTGGTCATGGAGGTTGCTCGCACCTCCATCGTCCATGCGGCTGCTCCCCATTTTCTGTGGCCCTTTGCGGTCCGATACGCTGCTGAGCAGCTCAACCTCTGGCCCCGTGTCTCCCACTCGGAGACCTCCCCTACTTTGTGGCCGGCGGGAGAGGTTGGTGATGAGTCTGTGTTTCGGGTCTGGGGTTCCCTGCTCTTGTCCGCGATCTTCCCTCGGGCAAGCTCTCTCCTCGCACTCTTCGCTGCGTCTTCCTTGGCTTCCCTACCGTCGCCCCGCCTTGGCAGTTTTACCACCCGGGTTCTCATCGTGTCCTCTCCTCCCAGGACGTCACCTTTGACAAGTCTGTCAGCTTCTAACGTTTCCACCCCCACCGCGATTCCCCCGTGCCCCTCCGGCCTCTCTTCCTGGTACCCAACCCACCCCCCCTCGGTAGCCCCCCTCCCCCCACAGGGTCCTGCTCTCTCAAGCGTGTCTCAAGTAGACCCACCCCCCTTCGTTGAGCCTTTGGAGGTCTCCTTTGACACTTCTGGACCACCTGAGGGGGGTAACCCGACTGCTGCCGACACTGTGGCCCCTCGCCGCTCAGCGCGCTTGGCGGCCCCTCCTGGCTTTCCGCCTCGGCCGTCTTCACCGCCTCTGCAGCCGGTCACTGTGGACTCTGGTGCTGCTGGAGGTGGTGACACTGGGGGTGCGGACACTGGGGGTGCTGGTTCTTTGGGTGCTGAGTCTCCTACGGGTACAGGAGGAGCTGGAGGTGCTGGAGGTCTTTGTGCTGGAGACGCTAGTGCTGGCGGTACTGATGCACGTCGGTAGGAGACTCTCACGCCATAGCGACTTTGCGAGTGGACTGTCTAGTGGGGCAGCCCTGGTGGTGGAGCTAGCCGTGCTAGAGCTGGAGGTGCTAAAGCTAGAGGTACTAGAGCTGGAGGTGCCGGAGGTACTTGAGCTGCTGGTGCTGGAGGTACTGGGGCTGCTGGTGCTGGAGGTTCTAGAGCTGCTGGTGTTGGAGGTGCTAGAGCTGGAGTTGCTAGAGGTACTGGAGCTACTGGTGTTGGAGGTACTAGAGATGGAGGTGCTTGAGGTACTGGAGCTGCTGGTGCTGGAGGTGCTGGAGCTGGAGGTACTGGAGGTTATGGAGCTGGTGGTACTGGAGGTACTGGAGGTGCTAGAGCTGGAGATGCTGGAGGTGCTGGAGCTGCTGACGGTACGGGTACTGCGCCAGGCCGACCGTTTTTCTACTCGTTGCCGCAGTCGTCCCTACCACCACGTGACTCGGCACTTTGTCAGGTTCTTAGTCTTCCGTCTTCCATTGGCCTTACTCCGCCTCTCCTGTGTCCTCCGCCTGACCAGTCACAGTCGCAGTAACTGCCTGGCTCTCCACTGCCCGCCCCTTCTCCCTACCCTGCACAGACAGGCCCCCTGGCAGAGCGTCATGAGCCTGAGTCTCGTCCTGCCTCCCCTGTTGACACTGTCAGTCGTGCTCGTCGTTCTCGTCCCCCACCCCGGCTCGCTCTCTATGGCACTTTGTCCTTCCTCTGTTCCACAGCGTGATGCTCTGCCTTCTCCTCTGGCATCCTCTCTTCCTGACGTTCCAGACCCTGAGTCAGACCTTGCTCGTGCTGCTACTCCTACTGTCACCCGTCTCCTCACTACTGTTGTCATTTACCCTTCCCCTGAGTCTACTGATGCGTTTGCCCTAGTCACTGAGCTAGTCGACTTTGGTGCTACCCGTCGTCTCGACTACGTCGCGAGTCTTGTTACTGAGTCTGAGTCTGTCTGTCCTCCGTCTGTAGGGGGTGAGCTTCCCCTTGGCTGTGATGTCCTTGAGGACAGGCAGTTTGAGCTCGAGTGTCTCGCGACCGTTTTACCCCGTTTCGCGTCCATGCTGCTTTGCCTTGAGGGAGACCCGGATGCGCTGGACATCCCCACCCGGCGCTCTTACGCAGAGGCGATCATGGGTGAGTACTCCTCTAAATGGCAGATAGCCATGGATACAGAGATGGCTTCCCGGAAATCCACAGGCACCTATGTCGACGAGGTTCCCCCTCCTGGGGCGAACATAGTCGATAGCATGTGGATTTTCAGAGTGAAGCGGCCGCTGGGTTCTCCGCCTGCCTTCAAGGCGTGTTATGTTGCTCGAGGCTTGAGTCAGCGACAAGGGGTCGAATTCTTCCAGACCTTCTCCCCCACCCCAAAGATGACCACTTTTCGGGTGTTACTGCATGTTGCAGCACTCCCTCGACTTCTCCACGGCCTTCTTGAAGGGCAGCCTTCACGAGGAGATCTGGCTGCGCTGCCCACCTGGCTTCGCTGGGTCGTTTCTTGAGGGTACCCAGTGGAGTCTCCGGCCGCCAGTCTACGGTCTTCGCCAGGCGCCCCGCGAGTGGCACGACACACTGAGGACGGCACTTGCGGCTCTTGGGTTTGCTCCTTCGACTGCTGACTCGTCGCTGTTTCTGCGCACCAACCCTACTCTGCCGCCGTTCTACATCCTTGTGTACGTCGACGACTTGGTCTTTGCTACTGCCGACACTGAGGCGCTGACCCTTGTGAAGGCGGAGCTGTAGAAGAGACACACGTGCACTGACCTGGGTGAGCTGCGTGGCTATCTTGGCTTGCAGATCACGCGGGACAGAGCACTGCGCACCATCACTTCAACTGAGTCACACATGGTGCACCAGGTCCTTGAGCACTTCGGCTTTCAGTTCTCCTCGCCACAGCACACTCCTCTGCCTACAGGTTACTAGCTCTCAGCTCCACCTTCGGACGAGTCCATAGAGCCGAGTGGCCCGTATCCAGAGCT